GGTTCCAGATTTTTGCCACCCTAACTGTAAAATATTGCCTTATGATTTCTAACCTAAACCTATTCTCCATCAGCTTATTACCATTGTTTCTTGTCACCCCAGGTGGTGCTGGGGAGGAAAGGGCTCTACCTATTTGCTATTCTACATTGAATGAGTGCATTGTTTATTCATGCAATTCCAGCATGTGTACTGTGGCTAATTGTTGATTGTGAATCTACTTCAAGACATATGATGCATCTTGTAAATTCTGAGTCATACCTCCCATGCTTTTCTGTAGTCAGTGGTGCTGTCATCTCTGTTGTAACATTTGCTTAAGGGTGATAAGGGCAAGTCTCTTCTTGACCATCTCCATCGGAGGTTTTCATGTCAAGGTAATCTGAAACAGAACAGAGTTGATGCAGCAGTTTTGCAAACCTTTTGGGTATCTAATAATGAACTATGGTGTAAATTCACAGCAGCCATCTTGGAATCCAATATGACTACCATGATGGAAATGTTACAGTTGGTCTCCTCAATTCACGTGATGTTGGTTTGATCATTGGAATTCATTTTATAACCCTAGTGAGGGCCAAAATATTGACCAAAACATGAATCCACAGCAGCTATCATGGGTGCCAAGATGGTAATTACATGCACTACTTGCCAGATAGAAAAGTTACATTGCTTGACATGGGTGTCAAAGATCAAAGTCTTTGATTTCGGATGCCGATGGCAAAAGGTCAGAGGCTAACACAGCAAACTCTGTAATTGTAGTCTACCTCTCTGTACTAAAAGTGCTGCATGCACACACCCTTGTTTGTGCCTCATTTCAAATCACTTGAGCTTCTCATATGAGCGAGAAACTAACCTTGACAGCCCAGCACGAAAGATAACGTACCTATAGTAACGAGATTAGTTGTCTTTAATGATACTGTAAGATCAGAATAATGTGCTGTGCTCACCCTCTTGTGACCAAACAGGCTCAGTACCACCTAAACTAAAAGAAAGGCCCCCCCCTTCTTGAAGGATGGGCTGCCAGCATGAAACTTGAGCAAACAAAGAAAGCACAAGTGCCAGCCTGTTAATTATTCATGCCTGGCGTGTAGTAATTGGCCATCCTGCCTGGTATAACTTTGAAAGAACTTCCGCCCAAAGCGGAGATCTTGGAGCATTCCCAGGAGACAGAATCTGTAATCTGATCAGTTACAGACATCTCCCCGCCCCGGTTTATTTTTTTTTGGTGTAACCCCGTTTCTGCCGGCTCATCTTATCTTCATTGTCCATCTTTCTCGTCAAGAGTTCTCGGTAATCTGCAGACTGTAGTAATTTGTGTGAACTGCTTAAAACTTGTATTCAGCAAGTCTGCAACTCACTGTAATCGCTGGATGACAGAACATCTGTATGCTGTAACTAAGGAATCAACTCTTCTGCCTGTGCTGCAACCATCAGTAGCGTAAGTAAAATAAACTTTCTGTGTAACCAATATGCTTTAAATCTCCTGACTCTTACTCGCCGCTACTACCCACCTGTCCGATCACCGTTCTTACTCACGCCAAGCCAGTCGTGCTGACCCAGGCTCGCGGGTCAAGGGTGCACCGGACCCTGGACACGACAATGGGTAGACCATCCCTACTTGAAACACACTGTTGCCGCTTGTGACAATGAGTTGCCTACAGGGTGACACCTCTACCTTTTCCTACAAAAAAAGAAAAATGCCAAACAATATGGGAAGAAACATGTTTTCAAGTTAGTTTTTACCAACCAGGCCTCTTCTGGTATCTGCTTTGGGGCTCTGAAGTAAAACTGGAATATTTTCTCCTGAAGGGGACTCTTCCCTTGATGCCTACACAGTTTGTTTAATAGAATTGTTTGGCCTTCTGTGACTTGATCTTGTTATTAAACCACAGCCTTTGCATCTAGAGACACTGGTTAAACCACTCCAGTTCCTTAATCAAATGTGAGAATGTGATATATACTGTTGGTTAACAAAGACCTCTGCAGCTTCATAGAGGGAACAGCCAGAGAGTGAAGGACACCTGGGCTAATGAATGACCCCTTAGGAGAAAAGGGAACATTAGGATTAAGGTGCAGTTATACAAAATGTAGCCTAAGAGGTGGCACCAGCTGCTGACTGCTCTGTCTCTTCCTTACATGGGCTTTTATTACAGGTGGCATTGATCCACTTCTCCGTGGTCTGCTCGTTGATCATGCAAAACTGATGAAGCAGAGCCAAATGGTTGTTGTGGAACTCCAGGAGCGGCTTTTTGAACAAAAAGAAGTGATGGGTTTGGATCTACCAGCCATAAACATGCAACGGGGAAGAGATCATGGTCTTCCAGGTAGAGAACACAAGACTGCTTGTCTTGTTATATTACTCTCCTATGTTTGTGGCAGTTCTCAAGATGTCCTAGGATTTTTACAGATCAGCAGGAAGGGATGGTTCCTGGTAAATAGTTGCATGTAAACACGGGCAACAGGAACCAGCTCATAAGGGTGATTTGATTAATGTGACAGGATGGAAAAAGGATCTTTGCAGCTGCTTCTTAGATAGGTCTGAGTGAGATTAAATTGCATTTGCAAAGGCCAGAGAAAATGATGTTGCAGTAGCTGAGACATGAGGTGACCAGGGACAGGATGGATAATGGAGGTCATGTCTTAGTGGTGCTATGCAGAGCAATGAGCATAATTTAAATGTTGGCTAGATGTGAGGACCTGTGGAGGGGTCTGAGATGAAGAAAATGCCCAGGCTAGCCTTAGTGTCCTATCCCTTGTAGATTTTTCAGTACAGGAGTTGCTGCATGTCAGCATAGACCCATGTCCCTCGGACCACTATCCTTTGGGGACACAGCAAAGACTATAGTCCCTGGATGAGTAGTGCATCAGTACACTGGCCTTAATTTAGGACTCTGTTATTTGGACACAATCTGGTTCATAGAAATGCCAGCCCATGGGGTGACACTTCAGAAAGTTGGAAGTATCTGAAAACAGGGATTGACAGTGGGAACCAGTCTTCATCCTTAGTTGATCCCTTCATCCCCAGTGCTTGACAGTTATAATGTAAATAGGACACCATACCTACCTTCTAAGGCTCTGCCCACATCATGGAACCACTGCCTCCTGGTTGGGAGGTTTCCAAACACAAACCACCCACCCTGGAAATATTTCAGTAAGGTGTATCTAGCATTGTCCCGAGAAGCTCCTTTCCCTCAGTCTTGAGAAGGATGCCCTGGAGCAATGGCACTGGTGTTTCTCTGAGTTTGGGGCGTGCAAGTGGGAATGGTCACTGATGTCCCCATAGTGCAGACATGACATTTTTGGCTACTCCTACTTGCAAAGGTGACCCACCTGGTCAGTCCAACGTGTGAGTGTAAACAGCATCTGGGAAAACACACTGCTGGCTGCAATCAGCCCTGTGCTAGATGGAAGCATCTGCGGAAGGGGTTCTTAAGAACATGGACAAGATAGACATTAGGGGTCTGTGAAATTTTGCTGGCAGTTTCATTTCAATGCTCTTTCAACTTGTTTCAAGCTCAAAACAGCAAAATCAAAATGAAACAGAGAGCTTGGAAACAGCCTCAAAACAAAACGAGGCAAGTTGAAACATTTTTGAGTTTTGAAGCTCAAGCTGGGCTTGCCTGCAGGGAAACAGAAACTGATGTAAGGAGAGGGAGGGGGAAGAGGGGGGGAGGGAGGGGAAGGATTGCTTTCATTATTGACTGTGTAGCTGGCCAGTGACTGTCATCCTATGACCCCAGCTGACTTCCTGCCCTTTGGGCGGGGGGCTGAACTTGATGATCTTCCAAGGTCCCTTCCAGCCCTAATGTCTATGAAATCTATGAAATCCTTCCCTGAGGTCTCTTCCAATCCCAGTGCTCTGGGGGAGGGATGGAAAAACTGCATAAAAAGCAGCATTATTTGAACTGCCCTGCTTTTTGCTTTGGTGTCAGTTGAGTGAGGGTGCACCTTAACACACACACACACACACACAGTGTCACCCACCCCCACCCATGTAATGAGTTTTGCCTGTCAGCAGCTAGAGGAGCAGGGGCCCAGAACCCAGACTCCCCTTGCACCTATCTCCTTGACAGCTGGCAGGCTTTGTGGCCTCAACAGGGGCTAGCATGCCTGCAGTTTTGATGATGCTGTGGCTTAACACATACACATGGTATGAGTTTTTTGCTTTCAAGACTTTGAGGTACAGTTTCCCAGAAACCCCTGCACCTATCTCCTTGAAACTTGGCACGCTTAATGACCTCAGAAAGGGCTTTTATTTTTGCAAGTTTAATCCAAATCAGACCAGAAATGACAAAGTTATAGGCTGTTTTGGGCTTGCCCATTATAGCCTGTCAACCTATAGCCTAAATCAGCAGTTTCAAATCAAAATGCAAGTCAAAATGGAATGGTGCCATTTTGCACAGCCCTAATAGACATCAACAAGGTAGATCTCATTAATGTGAAATGGCAAAGCAGGGCACAGAGGTGGAGCTGCTGTTTCTGGTGTGAGGGAGATGGTAGCAATGACTGCTCTGTTGTGCTCCCACAGGGTACAATGCCTGGCGACGATTCTGTGGGCTTTCAGAACCTCACAACCTGGATGAACTCTCTCATGTGTTGGGAAACCGAAATCTGGCAAAGAAGTTCTTAGACCTGTATGGGACACCAGACAACATTGACATCTGGATTGGGGCCCTTGCAGAGCCCTTTGTTCCCAAGGGCAGAGTGGGGCCTCTCCTGGCTTGTATCTTTGGTGTTCAGTTCAGGAACTTGCGAGATGGGGACAGGTAGGCTGACCTGCAAATGGATCTATTCTTCCATGTGTAGCAAACCCCTGCAGTGTCGGGCACAATCACTACAGCCAATGAGGCTGTAGTACTTTATACTGAGTATCCTAGGGGTTAGGGTCACAGGCCAATAGGAAAGGATAAAAACAGGTAGATAAGCATTCACAGTATAACAACATAGAGGACAAGTAAACAGGCAGTGGTCTGTTTACCTAACAGACCACTTTGGTATTAGGTAAAGCAGGGAGATCTCAAGTGCTTGTGTAAGGGCCATGCAGAATCTGGAGCTGATCCACATCTAGAAAAACTGCATGCCACCAGCTTGCATGGAGCACAGGAACAACCAGCCTGGATCAAACCATGCTCCATCTACCCCAGTTCCCCATCTCTTACAGTAATCAGTTCCAACTGCTCAGGGAAAGGGGTAAGAATCCCACAGTGGGCATGAGTTGGACAAGCTGTCTTCTACATTCAATCAATTATCTGCTTTGTAAGTGATAGATTGGCATAAACCTTAAGACCTAATATCTAGTATACCCCTAGCTATTTCTGTTATCTATGTGGATATCCTCTTTGAATTTTGCTAAATTCTTTGCCTCATAGATAGCCTGTGTCACAGCCTAATTATGGATTATGTGAAAAGTGTTTCCTTTCATCTGGCTTGAATTTGATTCCTCCCAGTTTCATCAACTCTCTCTTAGTTCTGCTGTTGTGAAACAGGGTTAGCAGGCATTCCAATGTTTTTTCTTCAGGTAGTTTATTCCTGCATGCACTTTTTCATGGTCCCTCCTCTGTCTCCTCCCATTTTCCAGTTACTTTTTTTCCTCTCTCCTTATAAGGAGTTTCACCATGCCTTCAATCACTCTTGCTTCCTTTCTCTGAACTCTTTTATTTTGTGATACCTTTTGAGACAGTGTGGCCAGTGTTGTACCAGCACTATTGGAAACTGCATCATGACAGCCTCATGTGAAGAAAACAGTCTATCACAGGAACTTCTATGTGGAAAAAAGTATTGCAGTGCCTACATACAGCAGAATCCTGTTAGTGTATTTACTGACCAGAAATTTTTAAATAGAGAGGGTATACTTCAGTTACTTCAAGCTTATATTGCCATGATTAGAACCTATTCTTATGTGAAAGAGATTGTGAAGCAAAAAAGTTAGAGCCCAGTGTATTAGTCTTTGAAAATAGACTCTGAAGAAAAGCAAGGCACACCATTACATCTCTTTGAAGGTGGTGATGTTTGAATGGATGGACACCAGTCTGTATCAGACCAACATGAAAAATGTAAACCTGTCTATTTGAGTGTGTTTCATTTATTGCCACCTTAGCAGGTCTTTAAATATGCAGTTTTAATTCAACTCGTAAACAAAAACTCTGCCACAACTTTAACTCTGGTATCAGAGTCAGGTATCACTTCCCCACAATAAATGTCCATTAGGCCATTTATACATTCAAAAGTTGGTGATCTTTCCCCTTTTGTACCACAGTCTAGTTGTTAGAGCAGCATGTGGGAGACCCAGAGTTCAGTTTAGGAGGAGAGCCTAGAACTCAATACAATTCCTTCTGCTGCCTCAGGGGATTCAGGACCACCTGCTCCATCCTCAGGAGAGTTCCCTCACAAGCTATACACTATTCTGGAATTGGGTGCTCTCATTTCATCTTTGTGATGCTGTTTCACTGCACATAAAATTACCAAATGTGATTGGGGTTGTGTTCCTTCTAATGCCATGGATCTTGTATGCTTGGCTGTATGGTTGATCATCTGCAAACAGAAGCATGCAGGGTGCTTCCACCTAGGCCAGCAGTTCAAACACTCACTGGGAAATGGGAGATGTGAGTATGATCCCCCTGTAGCTGAGGAATGTCTAAAAGCTAGGTCTTCCACTTCCTGTGTGAGTATTCTAACTACCATGTTAGTAGGCAGAAAGGTGCGTGGCATCATCACCACCATTTTTCAAGAGTGAGTGTGTGTAGCTGGTAGGTGCTTCTCCTGGGTCATCTTGGGAATAGATCCCAAGCACCCCAAGTTATATACCTAAGTTCCAAGAATGAGTCAGCCATCAGGCAACCCTTCCCACAGCTCTTAGCTAGGTCACATGGCTTCTGTAGGCACCTACCTGCTGAGCATCTCTACTTCCTTAGTTGCTCCTGGAACGTGCCTAAGTCTCCTCATTTTATGGGTAGGAGATTTAATCCTGTTAAATTGGATCACCCTTCCAGAGTGACAGTGCCTATATTTTTGATGGTGTGCTACCTAAACAGTTTGCAAGTTCTACTTGTAACTGACCTTTAGTCTGAGCTAAGTGGCCAAAAGTGTCACTCCATGATTCCTGAGTGGTCTGAAATATTTAAATATGAATTGACTGTGGACATGGAAATCTAGACTTAGCTTTTGTTTGCCATATTTGCTGATGGCAACTAATCCTTAATTTTACTTTATGCTCAAAATGGCAATATGGCAGCGTCTTTACGCACCCCAGAGGCTTTAGTCATTTTATTTGTGGCTGTGTTTGGACATGTAACAAATATAACAGGGACAGTTGCTATTCAGTCCTCAGCTTTGCAATCACTAACATATTTTGTTTTTCACGGTGCACTTGAGCTGCACAGAGTCCCTAGGATTCTGTGGTAACTTTACAAGGGGTTTGCCTTATTACAGGATACTTATTAGTATAAAGAAATATAGCCTCATTGCAGCAATGGGGGCGGGAGGTTCACTAGTGGCTTTGTTGGACCTACATTTCTCTCTTCCATTTACGCTTTTCACAGCAAAGCCATCTTTTCATTCCTGTGGAGAAAATAAAGCCATGATCCCCCAGGCTGAGTTCAACCCCAAGGAAGAGAAGCACAGATTCTTACTCTGTTATTCTTGCTGCCTCTTTGCAGGTTCTGGTGGGAGAACCCAGGGGTTTTTACTTTGCAGCAGCGTCGTGCCCTGAGCATCATCTCATTGTCACGTGTGATTTGTGACAACACCCACATCACAATGGTCCCCAGGGATGTGCTCAAGGTCAACAGCTATCCCTGGGACTTTGTGAACTGTAGCAAGATTGACAGTCTTGACTTGTCATCCTGGAAAGAAGAGAGTCACAGTGGACTAGAAGGTAGAGTGGATCCTCTCATCTCTCTAGTCTTCTGCCTACACATTTCCCTGACACATAGCTTTGAAATAGACATTGCCAAATGAAGTGGATCAGCTGTCATGGAATATGTGCTGGCACAGCTGATCCACGTCACTGGGTGAAATGTCACCTATTGTCCCACAAATAGATCTTATGACACAACAGGCAATGTGTTCCCTGCTTACAAAGACATGCCTTGGAAATCACAAGGGTATATCTCTGTGGGTGTGTCTACGCATGCATTTATGCTGGCTTAAATTTACTGCACAGTAAATTACTGTGTGACAAGTGGGAATAGGCTGGTGTCTACATGTGCAGGCGACCTAGGACTAAATTTAGTCCCGGGTCAGAGCAGCCTGCCATGTGCCTTTGTGGCCACTGGGGGGTGGGGGA